CCCCAAAACCCCAAAACCCCAAAACCCCAATGGCTAAAAATTAATACAAATTTAGAAATTTAAAAATGGTTTGTGAAAAATGTAAATGCAAAATTGTTGATATCTAATCAATTCAATATAGGCGAGAAAAAATTGAAGAGAGTTATTACTCCTGATGTAGCTTAAGCACCAATATATAAAGTACCGAAAGCTTTATAAGATAATGAAGAAGAAAAGAAAGATATAATCGGTTCTAAGAAAGAGAGTCTAGGAGGATTATCTTCTAGAATGAAAATGTCGAATTAAACTGTGCTATTCAATTCAAAAGTTGACGAGCCATCAATAATAGGGTCTGATTAAAGAGCAATAAGTGGGATGAATATGGCATTAAGTAAACAGAAATATAAGTAATTTTAATCGCATTATCAACTATTTATATAGATTTGACCCGACTGCTTCGAAATGTAGAATTTGCAAAGTTAATAAACTGATGCCTGGACATTACTATTGCTAACACTGCAGTTATGTTAAGGGAATATGTTCAATGTGCGGAAAGAAAATATTAGATGTTAAGATGTATAAATAGACTACTGTATGAGAAGAGATCTTAGTGATGAAATTAAACTTAATTTTTTAATTAATGAGTTACTGTCAATAAATTTCTTTTGCGTAATGATGACTCAGTATCTATTTCTATCAGGATTTTGAGATTACTTCATTCTTTCTTAAAGGATATTTAAGAAAGGATGGATGAGTGCCTCTTCAGCAGTCATTCTTTTCTTAGGATCAATTACAAGAGCCTTCTCTAAAAAGTCTGCTAAATGCAACATATTTGCCTACTCTTCATTTCCCCCTGTCAATTTATGTGAATTCTTCAACATTTAAATGATTGGCTTTGATGGCTAATTTGGCATTGGAACCGGCTTAACATAAAATTGCCCTTTATTAATGGGATCTTCTTCTTATGAAAGAAAAACATTCAAGTTTTAAAGGCTAAAATGTCTTTCAACAAATGATCCCTTTTTCAACAACTTAGTCTTTATCTTTCCCTTTGATGCCATTATTAACTTCAGCATTTCATTATTTGATCTACCATAAAACATTACTTTGCCAGTATAGAGCTCATATAGTGTCACTCCAGCACTCCATATATCTATAGCTTAATCGAATTCACATCCCAGCATAATTTCAGGAGCTCTATAGAATCTACTCACCATATATTCAGTGATAGCTGCTTCATCATTAGAAATGCAACTTCCAAAATCACAAAGCTTTATTTTCTTTGCATCTTTATCCACCATAATGTTATCAGGTTTTACTACATATAAAATTATGAAAAAATCTCTTACAGTCGGCATGAATCAGTTTCTACTTATGCAATAGGTCTAATGCTAAGAATAATTGTCTACCAAATAAGCAAACTCCATCCAAACTGAGTCCAACATTTCTCCCATATTTATGCATAGTCTCTCTAAGGTTCAATTCCATGCACTCATAAACTAGACATAGATGGTTATTATACTCAAAAGTTTCAAGTAATCGTATAATATGCTTTTTATCATGTGGATCTGCCTTATTTAGAATCGCCACTATTTCTCTCTCCTTTTCTCCTGATTATCTCATGATATCAAACATCCTGATTATCTTTATAGCAACCATTTCATGCTCCTTTCTTTAGGGTTACATATCTACTGCTTTTACCACTCTAGAAAAGACACCTTTACCTGCAATACCTGTAACTTTATATCTATTTCTAATAATCTCTCCTACTTTTGGAATATAATAGCCCTCTGTATCTACTTATCCAGTGGTTACTTTGAATCCCCTAAATTATTATGACAAAATAAAAGTTTACTCTTTAATTACTTCCTGAAGATGCTCATCTTCATCTGATGACTCGTCAAACATATTCAGCTTCTTTTTTGCTTATTTTTAATCTTAGTTATCTTGTTAAGAAATAGGATTTGAGGGTTCTTAATCCTCAACTTAATGTTCGTACCAATCTTTTCTCTAGTGATCAAGCATTCTGTAAAACTCATTAAACTACTTCTGATCAATTTATTTCAACTAATTATTCTGTAAAACAAATTAAAATACATTAGTTGGATGAATTTGCTTGACCTCTTCAATCAATATCTCCTAGTTAGTATTGTCTAAATCTTTTACTTAGCTCTCAATCTAATCTTGGTTTATTTAATCAAATTTACTATCTTCTTGTTATATGTTTTCTGTGACTACTTACTAATCTATCACTGATACTTTAATCCCTTCAATACTTGATTTCACTTCTGCTTCCATTTCATTCGGATTTTGCTTTAAAGCATTTTCATGCTTTTACTTCAATTCTTCAAACCTTTGTTATCTTTCTTCCATTTCTTTTCTCAGTATCTCTTCCTCATCCATCATGAAATCATCATCCTCATCTGATTCAACAAACTAATGGTCTCCTATCTTGCTTTGTTTTTCATTGGTTTTAGGCTTTGAATCAGTTTTATATGAATAGTTACCATTATTCTTGTCAGTATTCTCAGTCCTACTTGAATAATTAATAAGATTGTGAATGTTATTAAAGGCGCACCCTTTATTGAATTTTTAAAGTTTATCATCCTTACGATCTTTAGAATGCTAACTTCTTCTTTCTTTTGATCTAGATCTTTTATTCTTGGTATGTGACCTTGATCTTGATCTATGAGACCTTCTTTCTCTCTTTATATCTCTCTTATCATAATCCTCATCTCTCCTATCTTTGTGATCCTTTTTGCTCTTCTTGTCTTTATTTCTTTTTGAATGCGATCTACTTTTCCCTCTTTTACTATCCTTCTTGAGTTTTCTCCTAGCCTTTTCTTCATCTGAGTAATCTCTTCTCGATTTCTAATGCTTGTGTCTTTGCTTAGATGAGGACCTAGAATTAGAAGAGTCTCTTCTATTATGCTTTTTATGAGATTTATCAAGAGATTTGTCTCTCTTACTTAAATTCTTATTATTATCTGAGGTTTAAGATAATATTTCACCTTCCTCTACAATTTCGTCAGCATTTTTGAGTTTCCTATCCATTATCTAATTTATTTACCAATATAATTATAATTTTTAAAAAGTTTGAATTCTTAAGCTCTTCTATATTCTTCTTTTAATTGGGGTTTTGGGGTTTTGGGG